ATCGGAAGATTATCAGAAGCAGGAATGTGATCTTTAATGAGAAGATGATATACAAGAACAATGCTAGTACAAATTCTGAAGAAGCTCCTCAGAAATCAGAGTTCGTAAGGTTTGACGATCTACCAGCAGAGGTCACAGTACATGACAGAGTCACAGTACATGACAGAGATGTGAATGACAAGGAGAGTGGGTCCAGAACACCCATTCCTATTATTTCGGAGCCAGGTTCAAAGTCATTCACTACTCAAGCTATAGTTTGGAGGTTAGTCAGGAGCAGACGTTCTCCACAGCATTACTCACCAACTTTGACTTACATCCTGCTGACAGATGGTGAAGAACCACGAAACTATGAAGAAACCTTGACAGATGAAAATTCTATCAAGTGCGAGTTGGTCATGAAGGAGAAGATGATTTCATTGCTGGGAAATCAGACTTGGGAGCTGACAAAACTTTCACCAGGGAAGAAGACATTTCACAACAAATAAGTGTATTGGTTGAAGAATGAGCTTGATGACAGTAAGAGATACAAGACTAAACTTGTTATAAAAGACTTTCAGCAGAAACATGATATTGATTACTCTGAGATATTTTCTCCTGTGGTGAAGCTCACAACCATCAGGATGGTAATGACTATGGTTGCTATTGAAGATCTGTTTCTTGAGCAGTTAGATGTGAAGATAATTTTTCTTCATGGAGATCTTAAAGAAAACATCTACATGTGTCAGCGTGAGGGGTTAGTGGTACAGAGACATGAAAACTCAGTTTGCTGACTGAAGAAAAACTTATATGGCCTGAAGTAAGCTTCTAGATACTTGTACAAAAAGTTTGATAATATCATGCAAAATGCAGGGTACAACAAATGTCAGATAGATCATTGTTGCTATGTTAAGTATTTTGACAATTCTTATATCATCCTATTGCTGTATGTGGATGATATGCTTATTACAGGGACTAGTATTGATGAAATCAATAACCTGAAGATGCAGATGTTATAGCACTTTGCAATGAAGGATTTGGGAGCAGCAAAACAAATCCTTGATATGAGGATTGTCAGTCACAGAGTCAGAGACACGTTGAGGTTTTCACAGACGGAATATGTGAAAAGGTACTTAGCAGATTTAATATGGATAAGGCCAAACTAGTTGGCACACCTTTGGACGGTCATTTCAGACCCAACAAGAATCAGTCACCCAAGTTAGAGGAGGAACAAATCTACATGAGTAAGGTTCCTTACGCTCCAGCTATTGATTCTCTTATGTATGTTATGGTTTGCAAAATACCGTATATTGCCCATGCAGTGGGAGTTGTGAGCAGATACATAAGTAATCCAAGGAAGGAACATCGAGAAGCTGTGAAGTGGATCTTGAGATATTTAAGAGGATCTTCAGAAACTTGCTTGTGTTTCTCAAGAAAAGTTTTGGAGGTACAGGGCTACGTTGATGTTGATTTAACTGGAGACATGAACGGTAGGAAGTGTAATATATGTCATGTTTATACTCTTGGGGGTACTGCAGTGTCATGAGGCTCAAATCTACAGAAGATAGTTTTGTTATCCACT